CTTTGACCCAGCAATAGCACTTCTAAGGCTGTATCTCAAAGAGATCATAAAAATGGGAAAAGGACCCACATGTACAAAAATATTTATAGCAACTCTTTCTGTGGTGGCCAAGAATTGGAAATTGAGGGGATGCCCATCAATTGGGGAATGGTTGAACAAGTTGTGGTATATGAATGTAATGGAATACTATTGTGTTATAAGAAATGATGAGGAGGCAGACTTCAGAAAAACCTGGAAAGACTTGTATGGACTGATGCTGAGTGAAGGGAGCAGAACTAGGAGCACATTGTACACAATAATAGCCACGTTGTGTGATGACTAACTTTGATAGACTTAACCCTTTTCAGCAATGCAAGGATCTAAGACATCTTCAAAAGTCTCATGATGGAAAATGCTATCCTCATCCAAAAAAAAGAACTATGGAGTTTGAATGCAGATTGAAGCATACTATTTGCCATTTTTTTCTTCTGTTTTGTTTTTGTTTTCTCTTTCTTGTGGTTCCTCCTGTGGTTCTAATTCTTCCTTACAACATGACTAATGTGAAAATATGTTTTAATAGGAATGTATATGTAAAGCCTATATCAGATTGCATGCCTTCTTGGGGAGGGAGGGAGAGAAAAATTTTAAATTCAAAAGCTTAGGAAGTGATTGTTGATAAATCAAAATAAATTAATAAAAAAAATAAAAAAGAAAAGAAAAGAAAACTGACCATGGAAAACAACTCACAAGAAGTGGTGTAGGTTACATTGCTGTGGAAACTCAGTAAGGGCATACTGTAGACTGTGCTTATCCTGCCTAAGAAAATTCCAGTCCAGACCTCATGAGTGAATTTAACTTAATTCAACCAACATTAAGCACCTGTTGTGTGCAGAGTCTTATACTCAGCCTTGGAAGAGACAAAGTTTAAAATAAGACAAAATCCCTCCCCTCCTAAAGCTGCCTATCCAGTAGGGGATAAGACACACCTGCTTGTAACATACAAGACTATATGGCAAATGGATTATCCAGGTGCAGATAGTATTACATGTAATCTGAAGGCAAAAAGGTCATTACTGACAAGGAATGGTGGTTTATAAAGTCTTTCTGGAGAAGGTAGTGTCTGAACTAGTCCTTAGAGGATTGGGGTTGGGAGGTTGGAGGAAGAAGGTGTTTCTAGCCATAAGGTAGAGTGTGAGCAAAGATTTGTTAAATAGGAAAGTGCAAGCCATGTCAGGGGAATCCAGTTTGGCTTGATGGTTTAGTGAAAAACAGTAAAGCTGAAGAAATGGAGAATAAAGTTGCCCCTGAACACTTGTTCCAATCACAAGGATTTCTCTTCCCATTGAACACCCCGACCTTGAGATATACGGCGTGTTTCTTTGTACTTAAGATAGGGGAGGTAAACTCCTTTATATTCATTTCTTATAAAGCTGCTCAGCTGTGGGTGAGTGGGTGAGGACATAAGAAGTAGTCAGTAAATTCTTGCTGAACAAAAATGGAACCTAGGAGTCGGAAGTTTATCTGGAGATCATCTAGTTAACCACTATGCCTAATACGGGAATCCCTTCTCTGACACCTCCATCCAGTGGTCAGATTAAGCAATTACAGAGTAATTGGGTAGAGTAAGTACATAGTTTCTACTTCTTAGGTTTAAAAGACAGTTCTAAGCAAGTTCCCCTCTTACTCTGGATACCTCCCCCCAACTTCCTTCCTGCTTCCATTTTGTCTTCTATCGTAGGCCCCTTTTATACCTCACTTCTCAAACAGTCTGTATTATGCAGCACTTGGTCGGGCTGAATGTCCCATAACTAGTTAAGAAGTCTGCTTCCTGTCTAAGTCATAATTTTCTTCCAAAGTAAAATCCTTGCCTATTTTACCCTGATCTCCCTTTGTCACTGACAGAAGGCCTTACTCTGGCCATTTGGTCTCTTGGGGATGATTGAAAGGCCTCTTGATTTCTCCATTAGTAACTGTGTTCATCTCATATGTACCAAAATCACAGAATTTGAGAACTCGAGAAGGCTGCAGGTGTCATGTAGTCCAGCTCGTCTAAAGAGGATGAATCCCCTTACCAGCATTCCTGACAACGATCAATTAGCTTCTTGAAAACACTCAGGGTGGAAAAACTCGTGAACTTACAAAGCAGCACATTCCACTTTGGGCTAACTTTAATTGTTAGGAATGTTTTCCTTAAATGAAGCTTAAATTTTCCTCTGTTTAACTTCTACCTCATTCTATTCTCTAGGGCCAAGAAGAGTGTCTCCTTTCTCCTGTCAGTCCTTTAATAACTGGCATATCCCTCCAAGTCTTTAAGTTTTTTCTTCTCTTTATGAAACATTTTCAGTTGCTTTATCCAGTCCTCATGTGGAGTAGCAGCTAGTCCCTTCCTTATCTTGGTTTGTCTTCTTACGGCCTACTGTCTGTCAAAGTTTCTCCTAAAATGGTATACCCAGGGCTTATGGCAGGAGTATAAATATGGCCTATCCTAGGTAGAATCTAGCTGAACTTTCCTCTTTCATTTTAAGGATTAAGGCCTCCAAGCTGGGCAGTAACCCAGAAGTGGGCTTGAACATGATAGAGCCATAGGATGGCAGGGCCAGAAGGCACCCAGCACTTGCTGAGTTAAACCCCTTCATTTCACAGATAAGAAAACTGAGACTCAGAGAAAGAGTGCTAGTGACAGAACCAGGACATCATCTCATGTTTCCTGTTTCCCAGTCTAGTATTCTTTCTGCTGTATTACTTTGCCTTTCCTTTGGCTGGCCAGCCTTGCAGTAAGAGGAAGGTAATCCTTGAAGTGAAGTCCCATGTCCCCAGTCAGACGTATGCTCTCACTGGTACGTGTTGAGCCATCTGACTGTGGAGCAGGGTGGTTCTGCCTGAGCTTAGTGGAGATAATGCCCTGTACCTTAGATTGAGAAGCATAGCTGGGAGACCAGACAGAGACCTAAAAAACAAAGAGAGGGCTCCTCTAGCCCTGCACCCAGACTTCCAGGCTATAAAATACTTCTTGCAAAATGAACACATACTCCTAGCTTTATTCGCTCAGTCAGTCAATTAACAAGCGTTATTAGAGGCAGCTAGATAGCTCAGAGGATAGAGTGTTGAGCCTCTAGTCAGGCCTCAGACACTTAGCTGTGTGACTGTGAGCAAATCACATAATATCTGTCTGCCTCAGTTTTCATAACTGTAAAATCAGAATAATAATAATAACACTTAGCTCATGGGCTTGTTGTGAGGATCAAATGAAATAATATAAAGCACTTAGCATAGTGCCTGGCACATAATAAATACTTGTTCCACTAAGCACTCATTATTTGCCTGGCAAATAATGCTAAGTGCTAAGCCCTGGGAATGCCACAAACAAAAAACCCTGTGAGGTGAAGAAAATGGTCACCCCTGTGGTAGGCTGGAAGAGAGGACATGGGAAAGGCCTACAGGCCCATATCTGAAGCTGGAAATTCTGTCATTTGCCTCATCCCTCTGGTTTCTGTATTTCTTTTTTCATCCTTGGCCCTGAGCCTTCTTAAACCTGACTTAGCTTCCCAGGGCACTTGCTGCTCTGCTTGGAGCATCCTCTCAGGAAACGTACCTTATGCCCAGGGATTTCACCTTATAAAGTTTTGTTAACCTTTCCCAATGCCCAGATACCAAACTCAAGCCCCTGAGCTCCTTGGACTTTCTGGCCCTTAAGTCGGCTTGGTACGCAGATTACAGAGATCAAATGCCCTTAATTCCTTCTTTACTCTGCTGCCACCTACTGTGATCCAAGATGTTCATCATAGTGTCTGTTCCTGTAGTGCTTTGAGGTTTACAAAGCACTTTCTTCGTGACCCTAGCAGGTAGGGAAAACAATGAAAAAAAGCAATGAATTTCCAAATTAAGGAACTCAGAGAGGAAGTAACTTGCTCAGAGGTAGTCAGTCTATAAGCATTTATTAAGCACCTACTGTGTGGCACACATAGTGCTAAGTGCTGGGGATATAAAGAAAGAAAGGTCAAAGACATTGCCTGCTCTCAAGGAGCTAGAAGTCCAATGAGGGAAACAACATGCAAACATTATATGCAATGAAGCAATATATAGGATGAATTGGAAATAATCAGTAAAAGGAGGGCATTAGGATTAAGGCGTAATGGGGAAAGGTTTTCTGTAGAAAGTAGGATTTTAGCTAAGACTTGAAGGCCAGCATGTTAGCACATGGGACTTTATAAACTGTTTCATTGGTGGTTAAAAAAAAAAAATCACTGTCACTATCTAGTAAATAGAACTTTCCCTTGTAACAAAGTAGTCCAGTTAAGCCAAACAAAGTTACACGTCGACCATATCAGACACATATATCTCATTCCCCATTCCTTGAGTTAAGTAGATGCTCCTTGCCCCTATCCCAGTTAAGGAAAAAGTAGGAAAAAACACATGGTAAGGACAGAGCTCCCAGCAGTTAGAAAGTCAGGGTCTCAGGGTCAGTCCCCCCAGTGCCTAAGTCACCCCTAGAGTTTTCTTAAAGATACTCTGTGCTTAACAATAATTAGTTTAAGAGACCAACCCTCTGTGAGAGGACAGGAAGCACAAGAACAATGTTTTTGTTGTTACTGTTGTTATTATAACTTTCATGTAGATAATGACATATTTACTAAGCCCTTTGCCATGCATTTTCTTCTTTGATCCAGGGCAAGGGTGTTTATCCCCATTTTAGAAATGAGGAACCTGAGGCTCAGAGAGGGAAATGATTTACCCAAGGCCACCCAACTAGTAAGTGGTGGAGCCTGGACTTGAACCCAGGTATTCTGATTCCTAGATCAGGGTTCTTCCCCTTGAACCATGCAGGCCTCTGAAGGGACAAATGATAGGGAGTTCTCTAAATAGACTGCTCCAGTGGATGGCCTCACCCAGACCTTGAGTCTCCCAGCCACAAGATTCTCTTACGCAAGAGGGGCCCAGAGGGAATCTGTCCAGAGTCGGCATCTGTATGGCACAGTTAGGTTCTAGACAATGACCTGTCCCTCACCTTTGTTCCGTGACAGGTCTCTCAAAGTGGGCCTGCAGATCTCCATGGATTACTGGTGGTGCACAAATGTGATTCTCCGAGGGGTGGACGAGGTATGTCTCCAGATGTCAGGAATAGAGAGGGCGCTGCAGGAGCCGGGGGAAGCCTGACAGCCATTGGCTCTGGGGATTTCCCTTCCAAAGACCCATGGTTCTCTAGTGCCCTGGAGAGGTCAAGTAGTGTCAACATTTCAGTTTGGATTAGTTGTGCTGTTTTATCCTTTGTGTCCCTGGAAGGCTAAGTCATCAATCAAGCTTCCTTCTGGGTGGGAGGCAGCATGGGGTAGTGGGAGAAAATAGGCTTCGATGTCATGGAATAATGAGATTTGAACTCAGGTCCTGAGTCCAGGGCCCGTGATTCTTCTCAATAGACCAAGCTCAGTTCTGTAGTAACTTGCTGTGTGGCCTCAGGAAAGTAATTTGACTTCTCTAGGCCTCAGTTTCCTCCTGTAACATGAGGACGCTGGACTCTCTAAGGCCCCTCTGAACTCTAACAATCTTCCTGTGAGGGTGTGGATTGAATTTGATTGATCAGGAAACTCTTCCCTTAGGAGATGGTTTTGAATTATGGCATAAAGGAGGGAGAAGATGAAATGCTAGGTTTTTGAGCTGCAAGAGACCTTGGAGACTACCTCGTCCAACCTTTTCATCTTACAGATATGGAAATATACCAGAGAGATTAAGTGAATATAAAGACAGAGGGAGGGACGCTAGAAGGTGGGAGAGGGAAGCCAAGGAAGTTCTCTGGCTAGGATGGAAGCCATCCTAGGGTTGTCCCTGGGGGTTTGAGGAGGGGCAGACACCCCCTCCCCCATCCCTTCTCTCTGTCCCTGTGGCCAGAACAGCCCTGGCTACATGGAGGTGATGTCAGCGTGTCACCAGCGGGCAGCTGATGCTCTGGTGGCTGGAGCCATCCTCAATGGAGGTCTCTATGTGAAGCTGGGCCAGGGACTCTGCTCCTTTAACCACCTGCTCCCTCCTGAGTACATCACCACCCTTCGCCTGCTGGAGGACAAAGCCCTCACTCGGGGCTACAAAGAGGTTGGCAGCCCCTGGGCTTCAGGGATTGGCTGGAGTGGGGTGGAACTGGGTGGTCAGGGCTAACTCTTACGCCATCAGCTGTGAAGAGCTCCAGCCCCATGCTACGCACTGGGGAGAGTTGACTTATAGAGGCAACTGAAGGTATAGGCTTTGCCTTCTGGGAATTTTCTGACTCTTGATGGACCAAGAGCTGTGGGAGATACAAGTGTTCAGGGTCCTGGGAGGAAGGGAGTTTCTAAAGCTGGGGAGCCTAAGTAGACTTGACTTCTTGGAGGAGGGCATTTTGAGCTAGATGTTGAAGACAGTGGGGGATGGCCCATGTGAAGGTTGTGGGGCAGGGGGATAGAGGGAGAGTGTTGAGGCCTTGAAAACATTACCTTGTTGCTTGACTAGGATGCTATTAGTAATCATAAGAAAGGAGGCCAATGAGCCAAAATAGGCCTGAGGCAGAGTGTGGAAGACCGTCCCTGGACTGGGCTCCCTTTCCCCTGCAGGTGGATGAGCTGTTCCTGGAGGATTTCCAGGCCCCAGCCAATGAGGTGTTCCAGGAATTTGACTATGAGCCTGTAGCAGCAGCCAGCCTGGCCCAGGTGCACAAAGCAAAGCTGAAGGATGGCACAGAGGTGGCCGTGAAGGTGTGTGTATATGTGGGGTACCCCTTGAGTGTCCCTGGGCGCTGCCCAAAGACTTGGGACTAGTAGAAGGGACCATGAGGATCACTAGGAAGGCAGCTCAATACCACTTATATGCTGTCAGCACATCTAGTTCTTACTCAGCTTAGACAGGCATACAGGTCAGTTTAGGACAGTCTCTGGCACCTGTGGACCCTGAAATCACAGGATCTTACAGAATGTTATTGTTGAAAATCATTAAAAATCATGTAGAATCTAACTGTGAATTTTGCAGAGGAGAAAAACAGATACTGAGAGAGGTTGACTTATCTAAGTGCAAGAGAGTTGGGATTCAGACACAGCTCTTGTGACTCCAGTCCTGCTCTTGAATCTATTACATGGTACTCTTTATCTCACATAGCATACAGTAGCCTATTACCTGGCCTCCCCATCTCCTCTAGCTGCACTAGTTTGAACTGAAAGGCTGCTTTCATTAGATCACTAATACTTGCCCATTACTCATAGAAGTGGTATTCAAGGCTCCTCTATGATATGGTCCTTCCCATCCTTTCCTGTTGTATCCACCCGTTTCCTAATTTTCCTCACTATCCCCAATCATGTCTGGAATGCCTTCCCTCCTCCTTTGTCGTCCAGGGCCCATTTAACTCCAGGCCCACTACTACTAGGAAGTCTTGTTGGACTGTTTCAGCCCCCACTGCTCTTCTTTTTCTAAGCTGGTCCATTCACAAGCAAATTCCACACTGTTTAGCCTTTCCTTAACTGACCTAAGACCATTTCCAGATTGTAAATGGGATCCCTCTGCTAGGTGGGAAATAAAAGATAACTCAAGGAATGAGAGCAATTATAATGGGGAATCAAGAAAGGCTTTAAATAGGATGGTCCCTGGACTATTTGTTGAAGGAAGGGAGGGATTCTGAAATGAGGTGGGACAGGAGAGGTCAGTGTGTGTTGATGAGGCAGAAGATGACTCAACCCCTGCATCCAGTACAGGTGCAGTACATTGACCTAAGGGACAGGTTTGACGGGGACATCCACACCCTTGAGCTCCTGCTGCAGATCATCGAGTTCATGCATCCCAGCTTTGGCTTCAGCTGGGTCCTCAAGGTAGCTCTGGCCCCAGCCCCTTCAATGCATTGCACATGGCACTAGAGAGGGAGTGGAAAATATAGCTTTACCTAGGCTTCAGGGAGACTCCAGTCTAATGAGGTAACAACCTCCATTTCTGAGATGTTCTGAATTTGCTACAATTCTACCTTGGGGACTCCCTTATCACATCCTCCCCACGTACAACCCAGTCCCTGCATTGATACCTGCCCCTCTTGGATTCCCCACCTCAGGACCTAAAAGGGACCTTGGCCCAAGAACTGGACTTTGAGAATGAGGCTCGGAACTCGGAGCGCTGTGCCGATGACCTGAAGCACTTTGGCTACATAGTAGTGCCCCGTGTTCACTGGGACAAGTCCAGCAAGGTTTGAGCCCTCAGGTTCCCTGAGAACTAATTCAGGATCTTCTTTCCCTTCCACAACTTACTCTATCCTACCCAAACTAGGTCTTCTAATGACCCTCCCCCACCTTACTATTCTCAGGCTGGGCAGATCTGGCCTGCTTATCAGACCTTGTCTCCCAATTTCTAGAGGGTGCTGACTGCTGACTTTTGTAATGGCTGTAAGGTCAACAACGTGGAAGAGATCCAGAACCAGGGGCTCAGTTTGAGTGATGTATGAACCTGTTTGTCTGCACTTCTGTAATTTACACATGACCTATGCATTTTATCTATTAGACTGATCTCCATCAGGGCAGGAACATACTCTAAACACAGTTGTTTGCAAAATTAATATATGAAAGGAAGAGCAGGATTTATCTGTGTCTTTTATGACATTTTATCATCAGAGGTAGTTTGGAGGGTTGAGACTTGTGCCATCCCTGATAATGCTGGGGATGCCCCATTTCTGCTTTAGAGGAAGTGATTCTCACCTCTTAATGGGCACCCACTCTTTTAGATATCATCTAAATTGATCCGAGTATTTGCTGAACAGATCTTTTATACGGGCTTCATCCACTCAGATCCCCACCCTGGAAATGGTAAGATGCCACTCTTGAGAGGGAAAAGATTAGTCTGGCCATTTAAAGTTGGGCTAAGTTTAGGTACTCCCCACCCATATTCTCTCTTAGTATTGGTACGGAAAGGCTCAGATGGGCAGGCAGAATTGGTGTTGCTGGATCATGGCCTCTACCAGTTCCTGGATAAGAAGTAAGATCCATACCTATGGTAGTACTCTAGTCCTGGGGGGAGAGAGGAAAGAATCATTTATCTGTATTGGATCACCTCTGTGGGCCCCCAGAGACCATAAAGTTGTGGGGAACAAGGGGTGGAATGTCTAATCTGGCCAGAAGGGGTCACACGCACCAACACCACACCCTTCCCAGGGATCGCTTGGCCTTGTGCCAACTATGGCGGGCCATTATCTTGCGGGATGATGCAGCCATGAAGAAGCATTCTGCTGAGCTTGGTGTTGAAGGTAAGAAAGGGGATGAGGTGATGTTGAGGGGTGGGCTTACCACCAGTGTACCCTAAACTGCCTCTAGTTGGTTGGAAAGTGTTGCTTGGATTTCTGAGATTGGGGTTCAAACAAGCAGTCAGGTTTTCCACACAGGCGGTCAACACAAATGATTCTAAGTATTGATACAGGGCTGTGATCAGAATGACTAATCGTTATATGAAAGTGGAGTGCACAATTAAGTTTTCCAGACATCTGAGTGTTTAGACCATGCCATTATCAATATGTCGCTGGTGTTTTAGTATGTTTTTATTTATTTTTTTAGTACCATTTTTAAATATTTCCCAATTACATTTTAATTTGATTCAGGACATACTCAGAATGTGGTGGGCTACATGTTTGACACCTCTCTGCTTTAGATAGTTCCTTCTACTTTTTAACATAACTCTGGATCTCTGCTCAGTATTGATGGGGGTACTGCCCTTAACTCACCTTTTAAACTTGATTAAGACCTCTTTATGTTACAAGGAAGTTCTCCTGGTTAGGTAGACTTTACTGCTTGGCTGAACCTAGCAGGAACTCCAGTCTAGTCCCCTCATTTAACATAAAGGGAATAGGTGTCAAAGGAAGGAAAAAGTCCTGTCCTAGGTTTCTTTTGTTACTCACAAACACCTAAGCACTTTGGAAATTCTTCTCTTCCTGTGTTGCATTACCTGGCAGAAGAACCCACCAGAGTTATTTTTTTTATACATTGTTGTAAAAAAAAGAATAATGATAATTGTAAGGCGGTGTCTTCACTTGAACTCTACCTTGGCAAACTTCTTATTCTATATCTTCACTGCACACCAGAATCAGGCTAATCCCTCTTTCCCAACAGTCTTTAAAGCAGAGGTGCAAAACTCAAATAGAAATGCCATATTGATGACTTAGATAATGTTGCTATTTTGTTAAACATTTCCCAGTTACATTGTAATCTGGTTCAGGCTGGGCTTTGAGTTTAACAATTCTGCTTTACAGTACTTTAAGACAGCTGTCACATTCTCCCCATCCCCCATGTCTAACATCCCCTTTCCTTCCCATACCCCAAGATTACTTCCTGTTCTGTGAAATCCTAATGCAAAGACCAATTCATATGGAGCAATTGTGGCAGTCTGGCATGCTGAGCCATGCAGAGACAGCTTACATGCAGGAAATGGCCCAAGAACACTTTGCCCGAATCATGGAGGTGCTGAAGGCCTTGCCCCGCCCCATGCTGCTTGTCCTGCGCAACATCAACACCGTACGTGCCATCACCATGACCCTGAAGGCCCCTGTGGACCGTTACTTCCTCATGGCTAAAAGGTTTGTGCCGTTGGAAGACAGAAGGCCAAAGAAGGGATGGGACTTGCCCATACTCTATCTCAATACAGGCAATTAAACCAAGTGTTGGGCTAACACAATAAAATAAGGAGCCTGGATAGTTAATAGCTACTGAGCCTACCACCCACCAAAAATTCAAAGCAGAGGGGGGAATGATGGGTTGCTTGGCTGTCTTAGTACTTCCTACTGAAGGGAAAGTCCGGGGTCTAGAAAAGGATGGAGTAGCAAAGAATGTATACAAAGGAGAGAAAATGCTAATGCTATGGGGTTTTTTTGGGGGTGGTGGTAAAGTGCTGTAAGGAGCTGGAGCCGCCTGGTGGGAGAGCAGACTCGAGGTACCTTCTACCGACGCCTTGTGAATTGGGTCAAGGTCACATGGGAGAGCTTCAAGTTTGAAATTGTCCTCAGGTGAGATGGGCAACAACCCTTCTGAGAAAGAGAGGGAGGGGAATGGGAAGGGGAATGATGGTGGGGCTGGAGTCATTGCTAGGTCCCACCTTTAACTCTCTCTCCTGGCTCCAGGTTGGAGATGTTATCAATGCACCTAACCTCCATGATCATCAAATTCCTGGTTTACCTGGGTGTCATGCCTGAACCCGAGGAGATATTCAAGAAAATGGAGCCCTAGGTCTGGGTGGCCCTGTCATACCCACCCTCAGCTGCACAGATTCACCTCCTTCAACAAAGAAAGGAGGAGTAGGCATCAGCCACCAGGGCAGCAAGACCCACAGGAGTCAAGTGGCCAAGAACAGGGAGATGACAGACAAGTATCTCTCTACTTGCTCGGACTAAGGCAGAGGAGGCCCATTAGGACACAGAATAAAGGAGTGGATACAATGCTCAACCTCCAACTGCAACTTCCTTGATTACAGGGTGTTAAGAGCAGAGTCTTCAATGATAGGAAGGCCCCTCTTACTTCATCCCATGGCAGCTTCTTCACAGAAAATAAGTAAAACTCTAATACTCTTACACACATCCCCACACCCTTTAGTTTCCTTAAAACAAAACCTCTTTTCTTTATCCAAAAGTGTGTATTTGGAGTAGGGGCAACTAGAAATGAGCTGTAACACGGTCAATCTCCAATAGGTCATCCAGAATCTGGAAGGACAGAGACAAAGGATTGGGTATGGTATGGGTAAGGCACAGGCAGACAGATAGATAGACAGATACATGGCAATAAATTGAGAGTCTGGGAAAGACGCTTACAATGTCAGGTGTGGTTCCAATCTTCTTGGCAAGCTCTCCACGTTCCATGGTGCTAAGGTAGAGATAACGATTAAGGAGTTCCCCATCAAGGACATTGCGTACAGCATTTTGTAGGATGCGACGGTCAACATGAAGCATCCTGCATTTTGGGGAGATTAAAAAGTGTCATTTAAGGAAAGAGGTGGGTAAGAAGGTTATTAGAAAGGGGTGGTAGAATCTCACCGAAAGGCACGGGGGTTGAGGCCAGCATGGTGGGGCAGCATAGTGGTCAGGGCATTTTGCAACATCAGTAGCCGCCGATATGTCTTCTCCTGCATGGGCAATAGGAGCCCAATGCCACCATCTAATGTGGCTGGAAGAAAGATGTGGCAGGCATTATTAACCAAAGGCCTGGCATAAGACCTCTCCCCTACCCTTCCCTTCTCAATGACTAACTCACCAAACCATGTGATATGCTTGTTCTCCCAGACAATGGATTTCTTGCTAGGCCCTTCTGCTGCCCCCCGGCATGGTGTCCTCCAGAACGTATTCACATGGGCACCCACATGGAAATCTGCCCGTCGTAGCAGCCGCATCCCCCCAAAACTCTCCTTGGCTAGGATCAGGGAGATAAACTGTCATTTTCTTCTCTCCTCCCACCTCCCTCAAAAACCCCTGGGATGGATGAAGAGCAGTGATTCAGTGGCTTCCTACAGTCAGGATTGTGGGAAAGTCATACTCACCTTCAGGCAGATACATGTACACCATGAGGTTGCGGTCCCGGTCTGACACTGTTTCGGGGGGGGGGGAGGGGCAGAAGGGAAGAGTCAACAGACCCAAGTCAAATTGCTTGCAAACTATCTTAGGAAACGTCCTTTCCACCCCTTTGGGTTCCAGGTTCACTCACCCAGAAAGCCAAGTTGAGCACTGTCTACCATGAAATCCACACTGTACACCTCCAAGGGCTTGGCATCCTGGGGGTAAATTGAGCTTAGCATCTCCTCTTGTGGGCCCCAACCCTCCTCCCATCCCCTCCTAGGTTCTGTGTGCCTCAGTCCCATACCCGGGACACCAGGCTCAGGGTTTTGCTCTCCTCTTGGTAACGAAGCAGAGAAATGCTTTTCATGACATCAGCTGCCAAGATGAAATTCTTCACACTGATCATCTGGTGAATATAGAGCTGTGTGTCAATGAAAGCCATGCCTGTCAGCTCACTGGCCCGAAGACTCCACAGGAAGATCTGGGGAAACAGGGAAGAGGAGGGTGGCTTGGTCAGAGTATATCCCCTTCAGCCTAAGCCTCACTCCAGAGTTACACAGAGTCATTACCTTTTGACCAATGGCTGACACCAGGTGGCCATTGCAGTGACAGAGAGCTGTCACTGGGCCCTTTTGCTCTTTCTCATACAGCACTTTGAACTTATTCTTTGTCAGTGGCTGTCCTGGCTCTGGAACTACTTCAATCACATCCATAATGAGAATCTGTGGGAGGTAGGCAATTTAAAGATTCAAGGCCAGCAATTACCAGAATCACGTCCCTCTTGTAGTGTACATGGCTGCTTACCCTGCCTCGGCATGTGACCTCCTCCCCCTGCATGAGGCAGGTTCCAGCAGCCACATAGCCCTTGAGGCCAGACACAGTCTCCTCGCTGCGAAGGGATACTGTCTTCATGCAGGTCACATGCTCCCATTCCTCCAGCTCAATCCTGCAGAGAACACCCAGAAACACTGGATACTCTAAACACTATTCTAAAGGGATACCAAGAGGGCTGAAAAGTGGATGGGGAAGTTCTGATCCAAGGTCTGACCTGGCATTGGGGATAGCCTCCCAACTGACTGGAGAGATAAGCTGGATAGAGAAGGCCTCCTGCAAGGGGTGGATATATCGTTCATCTAGGACGACAAAAGGAGTCATAGTCAGCCCTTCCCCCAGTCCCATTACTCTTAGAGGACACAGTACATTCATTGGAGATAGGAGCCAATGGGGTTGTGGAAGATGTGAGGGGAAGAAAAAGGGAAAGCTAGGTGGTCAAATCACTAACCTCTCTCTATTGTCTCAAATTCCTTCTCTTCGCCTGTCATTCGAGGGATGCGAGTGCATAGGGCATTGGTGCTGGTGGCCACAGCATAAACCTATTTGGTTTGTTTGGAGGAAGCAGGGTTAAGGGGTATTAGGTAAGGGGCAGAAGTGAGGAAATTCTTCAAAGAGATATAGGGGGTTTTGTTCTAGGCACCTCCAGGTATGGTTTAGGTGAGTAGTTAAGTGAGGAGGCAGGGGGAGAAGGTGCTAACCTTGGATTCCACATGATAGGCAACATAGTGAGCTGTGCATCGCAATGGGATCTTTCTTACTGGCCAGGGAGCATCATAGGACAAATAGGCTGGAAGCACACTGATCCGAAGCTCTCCCTGGGGAATCCAGAAAGGGAAAGGGAATCAGGCAGGTTGGTCCTTGACCTGGGCACAGCCTTCCATGCCCCTCTGACCCACCTCCATATGATTTAAAAAATAGGTATTACCCCACCCAGGTTCCCATTCAGTTAATTAGTAATCTACTTCGTGGGGTAGCCCCTCTTACGTTACCAAAAAAAAAAAAAAAAAAAAAGATGTGATCTACCATGAGCTTTCTCATCTTCTATAGTCTGAAACATCAGTATCCACCTGTGCTTCGGCCTCTGAGGTAGCCAGTTACCCACCACTGTATTTCTTTATACCCCTGATCCCATCTTCTCCAAGAACTCCCCTTCAATTGTCCTTGTGACCCGCCTCCCCGACTTATCTTCAATCTCCATATTGGGTCCTTTCTTGCTGCTTGTAAATACACTGAGGTCTCTCCCAGAATTTAAAAACAAACCAAAAAACCCCTTCACTTGACTGTAATGTTTTCTATATCTTTTTCTTCACAACTAAACTCCAGAGAAATCTCCTTGTCTCCATTTCTTTTCCTTTCTTCCTTCTCACAAATTTCACCACTTCAATGAGACTGGTTCTCTACAAGCTTCCCAACAAGCCCTATGGCCTTTTCTCAGTCATTTTTAACCTTTCTGCAACATTAGGCACTGCTAATCACCCCTTCCTCAATACTCAAACTCCTTGGATTTCCATAGCACTGCTTCTCCTACCTGTCTGGCCATTATAGTCTCTTTGCTGAACTGCCATTGATATTTCAAGTGTATGTAACCCTTCCCTTCCCCTACCAGGCCTTGTCCTGGGTCATCGTCTCTGAATTCTCTTAGTGATCTCATCAACTCCCAGTTAAAATAACCTCTGGAGAGATTTCCTCATTCAAATGATGTTTCACAGGCATCTCAAATGCTACATTTCCAAAAGAGAACTTGTTCTCACTCCAAAGCATACACTTCTTGCAACGTCCCTAGTTTTCTGGGTAAACTGGGAGACAAGAGAAGATGAGGGCCCTCCCTTCAAGGAGGTCAGTCTAGTTGGAGACAAGCTGCACATGCATAACAGAAAAAAAAACCCAAGACTACATAATTCAGTGCTAGATTGTGTAGTCTAGACTTGGAATCAGAGGTATGAGAGTTAAGAAGAAGAATAATACATAAAGTAGTTGGGAAAGACTTCCTAGAGCTGAGGAAAATGGGGCTAGACCTAGTATGCAGGATTGTTGAAGATCTAGAAGCATAGTGTGAGCAAAAACATGGAGATGACATGTTTTTGTAAACATGGCATGTCTGGGATAGCCCTGATAGGAAGAATAGATTGAGATCAGACTGAGCAAGGTCTCAAGAGTAAAGCTAAGAAGTTTTAAAGGCCATATCCTGCAGAATTCAAGGAAGCTCTGAAGATTTGCAAGCTGGAGAGAGTCATGGCAAAGTGGTGCTACAGAAAGAGCAGTCTGGCAGTCATGTGAAAGGACTAGATGCAGAAATACCATGTCTGAGTGACAATGACCCATGTATGGGAAAGAATGAGGGGAGGGATGTATGAAGGACTTTTTGTTCCTCCTCCATTCCTACCTGTCTGTTGAAGTACAGGAATCCCCTTGGACAATTGACATTGTGGAAAGGGGCAAAGGAGTCGATGGGGCCATCAATACCCATGGGATGCAATCGAAGGGCTCCCCGACCAGTCACCAGCAACCAATGGGGTGAGGGACCACAGATGAACACCTTGGTAAGGGAGAACATTTCAGACCTCATCTAAAGCTTCCAGCCTGTCCCACTGACCACCCCTCATGTGATGAACCTCCCTCACTCCCCCCATGTCCCACTGACCCCTGAATAGCCATAAATATCTTCAAAATAACGGAATCGAGCCACACGGCCCCGAGCACCAGCACCCTCTTCAGTTCCACCCCCTTCTGGCTTCTTCTTTGATGGCTTTGGTTTCTTCTCCCTGAAATTGATGTTGTGGGGGACCTAAAGCATGGAAAAAAGAAAAGGGGAAGGCAGTGAGGGTGGGAAAGGTGGAGAGAACACCTTGTCATACCAGAAGTAGTTCCCAGGTAGTATGACCCTTAAGGAGGATACTCGCATCTAGACGCTGGGAGATAAGAGATTTCTACCAGTGTTTTTTCTGCTCCAAACACTATTTATTCTTCAAGACTTAGCTTCTAGGACCATCCCTACCCCTGGCATCACCATGAAGCTTTCCCTGACCACTATTATTTCTGTATGTGAGTTGTGTCTTCTCACACAGTCTAGGTGCTGCCCTGGCCCTGCCCCATAATGGGTTGACCCACGTTATAGCTTATGCTGAGAATGAAGTAGAGGAGTTAGGGGCTCAGGTACCTTTTTGAATCGCACTTTGAGGTTGCTCTGACCAAGCTGGGAGTCATGGGCAAAGGCCTCATAGATCAACAGTTCCTGGTCTACATGAACCTAAGGGGAGTATTGAGGGAAGAGGCTGTTAGGGTTGGAGGGTGGGGAAAACTCAAGGCTCCTGGCAATAATGGAAATCATTTAGGGGAAAGGGGGAGTCTTGTGTATGAAAACTCACCAGCAGATAGGGGCGGGTCTGACGGTTACCCAGGGCAACCAGTAATACCTCCTTAACAAGAGGAAGTTCCCCTTGCCTGGTCACCTCTTCCTTCTTGGTGTCACCTTGGGTGGCTGGCTGTCCAAAGGAGCTGTCTACCAGTACCCGCTGCCCAACAGGGAAATTCTTCACTAGAAACACCAGGCGCCAATCTGGGAGCTGATAGATCTAAGGTCAAGAGAAAAAAGGGGGTTAAGTGACCATAAGGCCCTTTCCTTCCCACCCTCTTGCATCAATGCATGAAGACCACAAAGGTAGGAGTTAGAGGATCCCCACTCTTCCATATTAACACAAAGAAGCTATATCAGTGGAGGTTAATAGTAGGTATCACTGCTGTCCAGAGGCCCACAGACCTATATTAACACAGAGCTCAGGTCAAGAGTTAATACACCTAAGTACTCCCACTCTCCTACATTAGCACACCCAGGTCAGTGGGGAAGAGGGAGGAGGATCAAGGGTCACTCACTTCCATGGCCCCACTCTCTCGTACTAGCACACACCAGTGGGTGGGCTCTGCTCTGTATGGGGGAGGGTCCCGGTCAGCAGGTGGGAGACTGCTTCTTCGAGCCTCTTCTTTGCTGGGACTGAACAAGGAACTGGAGTCTCCATACAACATCTCTTCTTCATCATCCACAGTGGGGCTGAAGGCAGACAGTGATAAAGCACAATCAGGTTTCATACTCAAAGTTTTAGCTCATGGCCCTGGTACCTCTCCGTATATGTACCTGATCTCAGGTCCCAGGCCCTCAGCCTCCAGGCCCCCTCGGCCTCCCAGCTCATCCCGGGGCCCAGATGCTCGGCTCTCAGTGGTAAACATCCCACTGACATCCCGGTACACACAGAGCGCGATCACCTTTGACTGCTGTAATACGGAAAGAATGAGAAGTCAGCCCACCCATCTCAGAGGGGAAGGGAAAGGCGACTGGTGGTCAGAGACAGGACTAAGAATATGGTTTGGGTGTAAGAAAAATCAAGAGCAATTATTTTCAGGAGTTATGTGGGGGTGGGAAAGGGGAAATGAAAGAAAAGGAATTAGATCTGAGATCAATGATTGAAAAGAGGGGTTAGAGAGTATTGGCATTCCCCTACATGATGCAAAGGTGGCTTGTGAAGAGCCAGGCGATGGTTCCTTCCCCCATAGGAGTCACTTTTCAGAAGAAACATAGTCACATGACCCTCAGCACTCATAATGACCACATAAGGATCAGCGACAGCACACTGCACAATGGGAGAGCCCAGATCCACAGGAATGAAATGCAACTGGTTCACTGCAAGGCAAGTGACAGACCCATCACCATCCCAAGGCCAGATCCAATCCCCCTACTAAGAAAGGAGAAGGCCCAGGCAGTCAGGCTTGACTACTCCTCTATGCTTCTCACATGTCTTATCCCCAACCCTAGGCTCTAAAGTTCTCACCTCCCTCTAACAGACGAATACCCAGGGGCGACACCTGGACAATATAGCGATTGTCACCAATGTTACCAGCATAGACAGTGGGACCCTGCGTGGCAAAGCCACTAGTGTCCAGCTCCATGATCTCCTGACCTGTCTGTAGGATCTAGGGGGTATGAACAGAAAAGCCATTAGACCTCAGGCCTAGGGTTGAAAACCACCCCTTTCCAACTGAAGAGTTGAAAAGGTATTTATAAATAGGTATTACCTCTAAGAACTTGCAGATCATCTAATCTTGCCTCCCACATTCTACAGAAAAAAAAACCCAAGGCCCCGAGAGGGGAAGTGATTTGCTGAAGCTCACCTAATAGAACTGGACTCCAACCCTGGGTTCTTCATTTACAGTTCAGTGTTCTTTTCTCAGACAACAACCTGTCTCTCAGTACCCCATACTCATCCCACATCAGAATCCTCCTCCCCTTACTGTCCCCTCACCATGGTAGAATCCTCCCGGCTGAGAATGAGAAAGCCGTGTCTCTTCCCATCATCTTCTGTTTCTGGGGAGCTGGGCTCCTGTTCTGCCCCTTCCCCCTTGGTAGTCTCATCCTGGGGGAAGAGGAAGACAGAGGAAGACAAGAGATTGGGGAACCCACGATAAGGTGAAGGAAACAGACAGCAGAGGAGGCATACATGGGGTGGCAAGAAAGGGGTGGAGATGGGACACAAAGACAAACATCAAGGGGGTTTTAAGGGATTTTCCCAAGGTCACTCAGTAGAGTAACGAAGTGGTTTTGAACTCAGGTCCCCTGACTCCAAATACAGAGCCTTTTCCATTCCAACATATTTTAAGATGTCAATTACCTACTTTGTAATTAACAGTTATTCATTAAATTCTCTTACTCTTCATTTTAAGAGTTACATTTTATAGAAGTGCTTAGACCATGTAGTAAACTATATTCTCATTTACCCATGCCTAAGAGAACAAACCTAATCTGTTGGCTTATACAACCTTAAGTTAAGCTCCAATATTGAAAAGTAACATCAGAAGGAGATAAGGAGAATAAAAAATAATAAGCATGAGGTAGGAACAACCCAAGGGTAGAGCCTCACTCTAGCTTTCATGCTAGCTTTGACAAGGCTTAGGAGAAAGGAATGGTGGGGGGATTCCCAAGGGCAGGGGTCTGACCTCTTCCTTTCGTAAGGGTGCAATGACTGTCCACATGTCATAACAGCCGGGCAGCTCGAAGGTTGTCACCACCTGAGGCCGAATGCTCTTCTAGAGGAGCAAAGATTTGTTGGAGAAGACATCGACTGTAGTACCCTATATGTTCACCTCAGGCCCTCCTCATTTCCCACTGCCTCCTCCTGGGGCATGTTACAGGTAGGGAAGGAAGCAGTACATGTCGGGATTTAGTCTTCCTGACTTTTCCCCCAGAAATCTCCATGTGTTCCCAGCTGCTGCTCACAGGCAGCCCAACAAGAGGCAGGCAGCCCAGGGAGGGACCAGGAGTAGCGATTACTATGGCACCGGTACCAGACCTACAGCACACGCTCTCTGCTGCAGGCCTTCGCAGGGTGCAGGGCCAGCTTCCCCAGACCTTTCCCCTTTGCTATCAGTCTTTTTAAGGGCCCTACCCTGAAAGTCCATCTTCACTATGAACCATCCCCTCCCCTTCCTCACCCCAAGGGGAAGATAACAGACATCACCTGAAGCACAGACAATGCTCCATTCTTGCCATAACCAGAGCAAACCACAATTTCCAGATCTGGCTCTGGGCTGTTCTGAAACTGCAAAGCGGGTAGTAGAAGGAAACAGCATCAGTCACAGGATCCCCACTAGTCCCCAGCATGGCCTGCAATACCTTGGTCATCCATTGTCTCTCAGGTTCCCTCTCCCTAGCTCAAGACCCCAACCCTGTTCCATGAAACTAACCTCAGAGTTAGAACCCCAGCTGCCTCCCTTCAAAAGAAAAATGCCCAAAATAGGTGGGATACCTCCTCGGACAGGAAAGCTGGTTCTCCCATGGCAGCATTAGCACAGGGTCCAATATTCAGGATGCTGTCACACACCTGACAAATTGAGAAGCAGCAGAGATATAAGAATAATAACTCACATCCATATAATGCTTTAAGGTTTACAAAGTGTCTTGCATACATTATAATTTGATCGTTCCAACAAACTTATGAGGTACACCCTATTATCATCCTCATTTTACAGATGAGGAAACTAAGACTCAAAAGGTTAAAATGACTTGCCTGGTATCACACAATTCATAAATATTTGATGTAGAACTTGAACCCAGTTCTCCCTGATTCCAGGTCAGGTACTCAAGCTTGCTATGCTCCCTCAATTGGGCAGGAGATAGAAGTTCGAGATGAGAAAACAGTACAGATGAAAGAAGACAGACTGAGAAGGGGAATGGGAAGGAACTAAAGGCAAAGGGGCAACAAACTACGAGGAGACAAGATAAATATCTTGGACCGTGAAGTCAGAAAGACGAACACAGTTTCAGGGCCCAACTCACCCAATCCCACACTTCAGTCAATGTCTAAGCAGAAATGGAAAAGTCGTGGGTGGGTGGGTGTGGCGAAGGTATCTCAAGGGCACCTCCCTTTCCCTTTCTAATCCTCTCTCACCTCAAAGGAGTAGGTGGCCAGCTGAGTACCAGACTGGGCTTCACTGCCATACACCTCAATCTCATCCACCTCATCCTGCGGAGCTGACTTCCCACCTGCAATATCAGCCCAGTCAGTTAGACACTCTCAGGCTCAGGATCAGATTTCCCACCCCTATTCAGAATCCCAGCTACCTTTCCTCATTCCCACCCCCAAGGCCAGGCCAATGTCCCCCACCACCTGCCCAGCCCAGCGTGGACTCCACTCTCTTCTTTTTGACAGGTGGCTCGTCCTGAGGAAACAATAACAAAAATTTACATTTATGTAATACTTTACGGCTTACTCTATAAGAACACAAGCTGGGGATAGGGAGGAAAGAGCAAAGGGCATTGTGGGAAATCTTGTTATGTCTACCCCTTTCTGTTCTCCAGGTTTCTGTACTAAGGTCCCTTTCTGCTACTGACCTGGAGGTCTTCAGGGTGTCTTCATGTGGTCTAAGAAATCTAACCTTGTCAGAAACCTCCCGTGATGGGGCTTCTCGGGCAGCACTGGCTGGTGGTTCCTGTAGTTTCTCTGTATATTTGAGTAGAAGTGAATTCCCAAGACGGGAGCCCAAAAAAAGGTAACCTGGTTCCATGGTGATCATCTGGGGAGATGAAAGAAAAGAGAATATTCCACAGAGAGCCAAAAGCCTTCTATTCTTATGAGACCACTCCCCACCCCCTGCTTTCCAGGATCCTCTCCCCCAACCAGTTTATCTTCTCCTCCATAACGGATACTCCCTAGCCCTCTGTCTCCAGGAGGGAGGGAGTGACTATGTTCATCACATGAACTCACACAGGTGGTAAGAACACTAGCAGCAGCTTTGTCGAAGTGAAAGGATCGGACACTACGCATCCCATCTGTGATGAGGGTCAGTACATAGCTGGGAAGAGAGGGCAGAGTCAGGAGAAGGACAGAATTCTACTTGGATCACCACATCTAGAACTGAATGCCCTGAGAGATCATCTAGGCTGTGCCCTTCATTCTATTAGGGAAGGAATGAGGCCCAAAAAGAGTACTAACAGTGAGCACCAGAGCAGAGCCTGACTCAAACCCAAATCTTCGGACCCAGACCTGGGGAGGGAGGAGCCAGAATCAGAGGCAGGGCAGGGGGAGAGGGGCCAGAAGTCAGAGCACACTCACATCTCGCCCCCTTTCAAGGAGATGACCATCTTGTCATAGGATATAAAGGCAGCCTGTGCACAATCCAGGGTGATCTTCACTCCATCCTGCATGCCTACAAGCAAAGAGAGCACATCAGTGACTTAAAACCCACCCCCAAAGTGCCAACTCTTCCCATCTAGACCATTTTCCTCCAACTCTATTCATCTCCTCCCACCGTACACAACTCCCTCCAATCTCTCCCGCACCTCCCTTCCATTCCCAGGTTGACTCACGTAAAGGGAAGGCTGTGGTGCCAGCAGTGAGGCTGTTGAGGGAAACGCCATAGGGTGGGACACTCTGGTTCAGGTAGAGGAGTGAGTTGACAGCAAAGATTACTACTCCACCTGCAAGGAGAGGCAGATGGACAGGCAGAGCTTCTCAGAAAAGAGTCTCCAGCCTCCTGCCAGCCTCCCCCAACCCCACCCAACATTCCAGCATCCCAAAGAGAGGGGAATCTTCTTTAGAGAAATGGATTGGCCCCTGGCCCCATTGCTCACCTATTGGTTTGGGTACTGCTAGAGCCTGGGTACAGTCAAAAGGCAGGTTGGTGAGGGACCAGATAACTGGGTGAACCTTCTGTAGAATGTTCAGAGAGATGGCAACAATGGAACATGTATCCTGTCGTACAGCCACACGCCTGACCAAAGAAAATATAGGGGCTCAGATGCTGCCATAAGCATCTTTTTTTTGGGGGGGGTAGGGGTTGGGGTGCTAGAGAAGGCCTCAGGCTCACCATGGAGCATGTATCCTACCAGAAAGCCACCTACCATAAGACATGGGAGGAGGGATCAAGGAGGAAGCACATCAATTTTGAGGGGTATGTGCCATGCTATACAGCCCTCCTTTGGTTAGAGTGGGAGGTGAGTAAAAGTCATCCGAGGGCAACAAGGGCACAAAAGATATATCAGTACAGGGGTGGTAATGTACTTAACTTATTTAACTTTGTTTAAATGCTGTTTCAAATTGGATAGGTAGAAAATATTCAGAAGGAATGAAGGTTAAGCCCATTAAAGAAAGCCCAAGTACTGAATTAAGAACAACCAGGGCTAGACTCAGTGTCTGCACCTCCTTTGTAGAATTTCTCTAGGGCCTGATTTACTAAGTAACCCAGAAGCCTTTGTCATAGCCCCCAGAGACAATGAAACTGCCAAAGTATAGGTCAAATCTCTAAAACATCTCAGATTGGTGCTGTGTGCAATCCAAAAACTAGTCTTAACAGTGAAATGTGGTAAACAGCAATGTGGAGGGCAAATATCTGACCCCCAAGGCCACATGAGGTAACAATGGTCATATAAGCCCCTGTGGTATAAGCTATCAAATATGGGAAAATTATAATTAAGCAGGCAACCAAGACCTTCTTGAAGGGCAACAGCAAATACCAGAAGGTTTATACTTGTTCTGGGACTGGGGCTGCTCTATTCTCAAAAGAAATAGAGTAAGGAACCTGGTAAGATCACTGAGACTCCCAAAGCTATCAAAGAGTGACTAGAAATTGAAAAGACTAACTTCTTTACTGGGTTCAAACCCAAACTCTTAAGTATTCTCTCGGTGAAATCTTAAGAATTCAAACTTCATAGAATCTCCGAGTTCCTCTAGTTCATACCTGAGCAGAAATCCTCTCTACAGCATTCCTAACAAGTGAGGACACTGCCTGACTCAGGCTCTGCTTGAAGACCTCCAATAATGGGAAGCTCACTACCTTCCAAGGCAGCCCAGTCTTCTTTTGAACAGCTCTGATTGTTGGAAAAGTTTTCTTTATATAGAACCGAAGTACTTCTCTGCACTAAGCCCTATTGTTCTTAGTTTTGCCCCGAAACTCTTCCCTGTGACATTAAATGCATCAGGTAGTGAACTGAATGCAATGTAACTACAAAAAAAATCAACTATATCGCCGGACAATTCAGAAGAAAACCACACCAGGGAAAAGAAATGTCAGGCAATTATTTGGGTGTTAGCATCACCAATCATTGTTGTAGTAAGACCCTTAGAGAAATGGAAAACTCTATGGTAACTGTCTGGCAAACTCAGCCTTGTTTTGTGTGGCAGTATAGTAGGAAAGAGTGCTGGATTGAGTTAGGAAAGGAGCAGAATCCAAAACCTGCCCATGGCATTCATTAGCTGTGACCACAGGCAAGGTATTTACCTATCTAAACCTCAGTTCCCTTTTCTCAGAGATAATAATATCTACAGTATCCATCTCAATGGTTTGTGAGGGTTAAATGAGAGAGTATCTGTAAAGCACTTACTTTGAAGGCACCAAAGCACTATTTTTTTTGTCTACTGGCACTATTATTTTCTTGACAATGTCAAAGAAGACAAAGGAAAGTCCTTACCCTGGCCAGGTCTGATTGGGCTCAAACAAGATGAGGAGGGTGGGCTCATAGTACCCATGAAGGAACTGCAGATCAATAATGTTCAGGAGCTTCTCATCCAAGGCCCGAACATCAATAATATAGCTTGGCAGGAAGCTTGACTTCTGCCTGGGGAGAGAGATTTAGGAGAGGAGGAAGGAGAGAGCTCCATCTGGGGTCCCTATTGTGGGCAATTCTAACTCATGCGCCCAAGGTGGACCCATATATCTTTCCTCAACCAGGGGAGCCCCTGCCCTTCAAACCCAAGTCCATACCCGCAAAACAAGGAGCGCCAAGAATGGTAGAAGAGTTCCAGAATAAGCCCAATTCCAAACATATGGAGAAACCCCAGATTCACAGGCCCCAGCTTTTCCATAGGCCCCCAGGAATTCCTCAATCTCCCTTTCCCAACACTTACCCTTCCCCTACCAGCCCCTCATGTTCCTCTGCCAGGGTCTCCCTTCGGAAAGGCAGCACTACAAGTCGTGTTCCATAGATCAGCATGACCGCACAGCGCCCATCAGGGTCCACTCGCACCCGAGGTGTGTGTACATTCTGGACAAAGCCATCCTGGGACGGGGGAAAGGGTTGGGGGAGAACACAGGGCCAGGTTAGCACCTGTCAGGACCTGTGCAAGGTTCCATATAACACCATCCTGAGAAGAAGAGTAAAGGGGGACAGGAAGGTAATGTCAAGGCCAGTACCAATTCAGGTCCACAATGAATATATCTGAGACACAGAAACATTTCTCCTGTTGTAGAGAAAGGGAAACCCCTACCTAACTGACTTAGAGGATTCCAATTTAATTCCCTCCTCAAAGGCCCCAGAGGCCCCTACTTTTAAGGTTCGTCCTGAGGATGGTAGGAAACTACAGCCACACAGAACCAAGTACTGGAGGGTGAAGGAGGCAATTCACAGGGCCTGAGGAAGGGGCACAAAGACTCTTACCCTCAGCTCAGGCTCCTCAAAGTAATGTAGTGAGAGGGTCTTCAGGTCATGAGTCCCAGGGTCATACTCTACCACTGACAGCTGAAGACCAGGTGGAAAAAGAGAAAAGTTAATTCCATTCTCAGCCCTTCACACCATCTCAGGCACTCACAGGGATTCTGTACCCATGCCCTGGTAATAGACTGACAATATCACCTCTCTTTGAGGCCAGGAGGGCAAAGCAAATTCAATCAGAAACACTATGGGAAATCCAAAATTTCACTTCAGGGTCAACCTTGTCTATGCCCCACCTATGAACCATGGCTAGGGGAGGTCTATCCAAGGTCAGGGTCCCTCATTCCATTATTCCCCATCCTAATTCCACAAGCAAGAACCATGAGTCAGTTGACCTAGGGTTGGAGAGTAATGAGCTGGGATAATTGGACAACCAGGGTAAACATGAAAGTGTTCTACAAATCAGATGCCATCAGTTTTTTTTAAAGAACTGTATTTTGTGGAACTCCTATCAAGAATCATGGATTGTCAACTAGGGAAAGGACCCCTTGCAGGGCATTTACCCTAATCCCTGAACAAAAGTTCTTACTACAACATTCCTAAAAAGTCTCTGCAGAAACACTTCAGAGAATCCACTATGCGCTTTCAAGGAAGTCCATTTCACTGTAGAACTGCTTTAACTTTTTACAAATTTTTTTCTTATCCAGGGCCAAGATGCACTTTTCTGTACCCAATGTTCTCACAGGTTCTTGCCTCTGGGGCCAAACAGAAAAAGCCTAATCCCTCCTTCATGAAAGCCCTCTGAATTGCCAGTGTTTTATATTTCTGGTCTAGTAAAATAACCCAAATGGGGTTATTAATTTCATGAAGTCTGATCAATACCTTCACTGTTTTTTAGCTCATAGTTCATTTCAAGTAGGGGAATGAGGACTGTCCTGTTTATTTACTCTTTCCCAGGACTGTGGCCTGAATCTCTGAATGTATGACCTCATATCATGGAAAGACATCATGAAAGAGTTTAAAGAATGTTGGACATAGGTCAAGAGATGTGCTCGTGTATTTATCAGCTCTCTGTCATTTACTGTGCCTTTATTTCTCTGGGACTAAATTTCTCTATTTGTAAAATTAGGCATTTGGACTAGATAAGGATTGTTAATCTGGGGTCCACAAATTTTTCAAAAAGTATTTTGATAAGGGTATTTAAAAAAAAAAACCTGATTTCCTATGTAATCCTGTGTATTTTATTTTATGCTTTTATTCTGAGAAGAGGTGCATAGGTTTCACCAGACTGCCCAAAGGATCCATGACACAAAAAAGTTTAAAACCCTGTATACCAGATAACCTCTAAGATCCCATCCAGTTCTAAATTCTATGATCTTTACACCCCTCTGGGTCTGTTCTCTCATCTACAAAGTAGGTATTATAATGGTCACACCTCAAAAAGTTGTTATGCAAACAGTACATTGTAAACTTTAAAGTGCTAACAAAATTATTATTATATAAAAAAATTCTCATCTTTTTTGATGGGGTTCAGATGGAAATAGTCCTAAGTCTAGTAACTATCTGCTATTATATTTTTTTCACATTTAATATTCTGTTGACTATTGCAGAGATAGAAAAAATAACTTTTTATAGTTATCCAAATATACCCAACATATCCAGAAAATATGTGGATGTTGTTGTTATTATAGAGATGGAAACACAGAGAGGGAAAGCAGACCACCTTTGCCTTGTTCTCCCCTTCCCCTCACCCCTACCAAGTGGCCCTGGCACCTTGGCATCTTTGAAACTGAGAAGGAGGGCATCTCTTTTGGCTCCAGCAAGCTGCACACTGGCCATAGACATGACATTTCCAAAAAAGGAGAAGGAGGCCACCAGTTCCAGCTTTTCTTTGTGCTCCTTGTGTAACTTCCCTTCTGGGAGTAGAAGCAGAGGTATATTGTGGTGAGGGACCTACACATCTAGTCCTGTCCACAGACAACACTGTCCTCTGGAGACTTTAAGACACCAGATCTTCCTTTCTCCACCCCCTGGCCCAGCTGCTTACCTGCGTTCCTATCACTCTTGGCTGAAGTCTTGGGAGAAACAAACACAGAGGAGAAGTCAGATCATTATCCCACCCCTGGATGCAGAACAGATTTCCCTCCCCCTGTCCCTCATGGTCTGTAGGAGGATCAAGGTCAGAAGCCTAAACAACTGGGATTATCTTTCCTACTGCTACTCACCACTCCACCCCTAGACTCAGGAAGAGAATAAACCAAACAAACCATTTAGCTTAGTGCCCAAGCCGACACACACACACACACTCTCCAAGATCAATTTGGAAAGATCCAAAGTATTCGGGACAAGGAGGTAAGGGATGTAATTGTGGTGGAAGGTGGAAATATGCTAAGAGGGAATGGGAATATAGAGAAGTAAAAGGGTTTACCTCAGCATCGTGGTTGAGCCGGTATACATAAAGTTGGGAAGTCCCAGCCACCACAAGGTTGCGTTCAGCATTGCTGAAGAAATTGCAATACATGGAAAACTCCAGCCCCGTGGGAGGGTGAGCCTGCTTGTACACAGCATACATAGTGGTGCCAGAGGGAAGGAGCCTCACAACCTATAAACGAAAGGGGGGAGAGGTTAGAATGGTTACTGATAACCACCATGTGCCAGACCCAGTCACCCTCTCAGAGGTCCAGGGGGCCAACTGACATTCTACATACGATCACCCCTGTCCTACAACACCCCCGGAGATTATATTCTAGGCTATATCCAGATCTCCCTTACACATATACTTACTCCTACTCCCTCAGCTATCACTAACCCTATACTCCCCGTCCCCAGGATTTTCAATCACCCTTACACTCCTTTCTGAAACCTGACTTTTCCCATAGGCTAACTTCTTCATATCCATGCTTCCTAGGGATAGTTATCTCCTCCACCCTGACAACTCTTGTAGTGCTTTCCATCCCTCATGTCTCTCACTCCCCCCCCAACCCTCACCCTCAGGATGCTCTCCCTCTCCACCTCTCCTGCACCTGGTTCCTGTCTCCAGCCCTGGTATCTCTTTTGAGTTCAGACCCACATCTCCAACTACCTACAAAACATATGCACCTGTTTGTCCCACTAGCAGCTCTCAGTAAAACCTATCCAAAACTGGGCTTATCTTTCTCCCTAAATTTGCTCTTCCTTGTGACTTCCTCACCTTCACAAACTTGCTGAAATCCTACCATCTTTTAAAGCCCAGCTCAAACGCCATCTTCTTGAGGAAACCTTCCCTGATTCCCCCATTTAGTCTGTAATTACCATTTTCCCTCCCACCTCAAGCAGGGATTTGCTTTGTACCTCTCTAATGTATTTGGCATGTAATACTACATATTAGAAGTATCTGTGTCTTTGTCTTATCCTCCTATAGGAATGTAAGTTCCATACGGGCAAGGAATTTCTCTTCTCTAAACTTTGCATATTCCTCAGAACTCAATATCCCCTACAGGGTTCTGCACACAGTAGGTGCTCAATAAATAAATCAGGCAGCTAGGGTGGCAAAGGGAATAGAGCACTGAACCTGGAGTCAGGAAGAACCACATTCAAATTTAGTCTCAGACACTTTGCTAGCTATGTGACCCTAGGCAGTCACTTAACCTGTGTGCCTCAGTTTCCTTATCTATAAAATAGTAATAACAGCACCTACCTCCCAGGGTTGTTGCAGGGATCAAATGGGATAATATTTGTAAAGTGTTTTGCAAACCTAAAGCCATCAATAAGTATGTAATATTAGGTGTTGGGCATGGTGCTAATTTCCCTTTTTGGGTATGGTGGCCTCCCAGTCCTCTGATTTTCTAGACCAGTGCTCCCTCACAGTCCCCCAAATTTCCTCATTCTAAGCCTTCTCCCAGAACCCATCTTTTATGTTTTTCCTCAGTATCTCCAAGCCTAGTTCTCTCAGACTCCTTGGGCCTTTCCTCCTCTCCCCCCAGTCCCATGCTTCCTTCATTGTCCTTCCTCTCCTCTGAGGGTCCATCCCCCATAGGACCCCCAGACTGTTAATTTTCTCCTTCCCCCAGTGCTCTCCTCCCTTCCTCCCTAAACTCTTTTCCCCTCTTCCCTTTCTCTGCCCCCCAGGATGCTTCCCCTCCCCAGCTCTCCTGACCCTCACTGCCCCCCCGGACCCCCCCCCCCCCCAGCTCTCCTGGCCCTCACTGACCCGTAGGACGCTCCCCCTCCCCAGCTCTCCTGGCCCTCACTGCCCCCCAGAATGCTGCCCTCCCTCCGGGTTCTTCTGTCCTTCCACCCTTCAGGACTCCCCCATCTTCTCCCCGCCCCCGACCCCGGGCCCCTTATCTCTAACATTCTTTCCCCTCCCCCACCTGTACCGCGCGCCGCCTCCTCCGTCTCCTCACGTGGCCTCACGCTGTCTCGCTCCCGGCGCGCGCCGGCCGCTGCCGTTGGGCTCGCGGCCGCAGGTTGGGTAGAAGAGATGGGGAAAAGAACGAGCTCCGGGACGTCCAGAAAAGTGTTCCGACCGCTTCGCGGTACCTTAGCACAAACGTTCCGGCTCTGCCACCGCGCCCCACCCCCACCCCGCCAGTCTAATCCCGGAGAACAGGGGGACGGAACAAGCCGCGGGCCGGAAGATCGTCCACCTCCTCTCCCCGGCACCTGCGTATTGGCGGCCCCCGTCGAAGTAACGGGAGCATAAATGATGAGGGAGACACTTGGGTTCTTTCGCAGGCCCCGGGGTGTGGGCGCGCCCTCTTTCCTTCTTTCAATCGTTACTAAAAACTTAAAACTTTTTTTTTCTTTTAAAAAGTACTTAAACCGTTTGGCCTGCCTGGGGCTGCCACCACCCTAGTGCAGGCCCTTATCGTCTTAAACTTGCCAGCCAGGTGGCGTCTTAAACCAGACAGCTGGGTGGTCCAGTGGATAGAGTGCTGGGCTTGAAACCAGAAAGACGAATCTTTTTTAATTCAAATCTGACATCAGACACTAGCTGTGTGACCCTGGACAAGTCACTTAACCCTTCTTGCCCTCAGTTTCCTCCTTTGTAAAATAAGCTGGAGAAGGAAATGGTAAACCACTCTAGTATCTTTGCTAAGAAAACCCCTAAATGGGGTCACGGGAGAGTCTGACACAACTAAAAAAATGACAACAACTTGCAAGAGGCTTCTTGTTGATCTCATGGCTTTATGTCTCTTCCCATTTCTCTTATCCTCTGCTGAGCTGTCAAATTAACCTTTCTAAAAATGCAGGGGGACCATCTCTCTCTCTCTCTCTCTCTCTCTCTCTCTCTCTCTCTCTCTGTCACCCACACACACACACACTCTGAACTCCAATGGTTCCTTTTTACTTCCAGGATCAAATATAAACTCTTCTGTTTATCATTCAAAGCCCTTTATAACCTGGCCCTACCTTTCCATTCTTCTAAGTGACTCTTGGCCCACATACACTTTGATCCAGTCACACTGGCCTCACAGGCCTCCTTACTGTTCCTGGGACGGGACTCTTCCTCTTCCAAACCTGTGTGTTCTCACTGGTTGTCCTCCATGCCTAGAATTCTCCGTCCTCACCTCTGCCTCCCCTGACTTCCTTGGCTTCCTTCTTTCAAGTCCCAGCTAAAATCCCGCCTTGCACAACAGTAGTGTCAAACTCAAATAGATATGGAGGGCGCATAAGGATTCCTGAAGGCAGCATATTGCATTAGTTTTAAGATGTAATATTATCAATGACTTATTGTATTTGTATTTATTTTGTTAAATATTTCCCAATTACATTTTAATCTGCTTCTGGCCACACTCAGGAGTGTCATCGGCTGCATGGAGCCAGAGAGCTATTCTACAGAAAGTCTTTCGTAATGGCTGAACAAGCTGTGGTATATAAATGTAATGAAATACTATTGTGCTATAAGAAATGGTGAGCAGGCAGACTTCAGAAAAACCTGGAAAGTCTTATATGAAATGATGCTGGGTGAAATGAGCAGAACCAGGAGAACACTGTACACAGTAACAGCCACACTGTGCGATGACTGACTTTGATAGACTAAGCTCTTCTCAGCAATGCAAGGTTCTAAGACAACTCCAAAAGACTCTCGAGGGAAAAAGCTATCTACATCTGGAAAAAGATGTGTGGAGTCTGAATGCAGAAGGAAGCATACTACTTGCTCTCCTTTTCTTTTGTTGTTTTGTTTTGATTCTTCTTTCTTGTGGGTGGTTCCTCCCATTGATTCTAATTCTTCTTTACATTGTGACTAATGTAAAAATATGCTTAATATGAATGTATAAGTAGAGCCTATATCAGATTGCCTGCCATCTTGGCGAGTGGGGACGGGAGGGATGGAGAGAAAATTTGAACATCAAAATCTTATGGAAGTGAATGCTGAAAACTAAAAATTAATAAATAAATTGTTTAATTTAAAAAAAAAAAGAAAGCCTTTCCCAACACTCTCCTCAATGCTAGAGCCTTCTTGTCTCAATGGATCATCTCCAATTCATCCTGTCTATAGCTTGTCTGTACTTGGTTGTTTGCTTTTTGTCTTCCCCATTATATCCTGACCCCCTTGAGTACAGGGACTTGTTTGTGCCTTTCTTTGTATCACTAGTACTTAGCTTCATTCTTGGAATGTGGTAAACTCTTACTCTATATTTAATGACTTGCTTAATGACTGACTAAGAAAGTCAAGGACAGAAACAAAGGTCCAAAACACACAAAAATATTCATAACAGCATCCTTGAGGTAGGAAATAACTAGAAACAAAGGAGGTGCCCATCAACTAAGGAATGTCTGAGAAATTGGTATATGAATGCAATGGAATATTATTGGGCAGTAGAAAATGACTATGTTGGATTCAGAAAAACATGAAAAAATTTGCATGCACTGACCCACTAAAAAATAGGCAGAGCCAAGAGAACGATATAAACAATAACTACAATAACATAAAGTGAAAAGTTGGATGAAAGGAAGCTGAACAATGAATAATGGAAAAACCAAATAAAGTCCTGAATAAAAGAAATGAACAATGAAACATAAGGACACATGAATTTTCTTATCATTTTTTACTAAAACCAATAAGCCAGAATGAATCAGCAGAGAGGTTTTATTATACTCACAGTGTGGCATTCTCCATCAGCAGTTAATGGGAGATTATGCATCATTCACAATGCAACAAGCAATATTTGCACATTATATGAAACAAAGAAAAAAGAAAGATGGCTACTCATTAAAATACGGATGCCCATACAAAGAAAAATAACATACTTGTTAAAGGGAAAAAGTATATAATTTGCTACTGGAAACAGATAAAAGAGTTATCTTCTTAATACGGCTAGTTTCAATAAATCAAAGAGAACTGCTCACCAGGCCAGACAAGGGAGGAGGATATTTCAAGGACTCTGGAATCCTCTGTCTTCAACAACTAGTCTTTTTGTACCAATAAAAGGAAGACTCAATCAATCAATAAACATTAAGTGCCAACTATGTGTCAGGCATAAAGAAGACACTGAAGGACACCAGCTGCTGCAGATGGTTTTGTAGTTCATGAAGGTTCATATACAGCAAAATGGCTGATACAGAACAAGATTTCTCCCCACAAAATTCACTTTCAATAATAATTCATCCCTCATGTTAGAGAGGTGGGGGTCTAGTAGGACAGAATATGGTATACATTGTCGTACAAGGTTTTCTGTACTGGATATTTTTGCTTAATTGTTGTTTGTTACAAAGAAAGATTCCATCTGGGGGTGGTGGGGAGTGACTATAATTTAAAGACATTTTGTAAAATGTATTTATTTTAAAACTGCTTTTGAAGCACTTCTCCCCTCTTCCATTACCCCAGGAACAATGTTTCTTCTGGTCATCGTGTTAGAATAACTACTCCTTCTGCTATATCTGCATGAGCCACTAGGTGGTGGGCTACACTTAACTACAAGTTTACACCCATTATCCCACCCCCAAACTGAGGAAGGCACCCAGCATTTATTAAACACCTACTATGTGCTAAGCACTTTATAAATATCTATTTGATCCTCACAACAACTCTATGAGGTAGATGCTATTATTACCTTCATTTTACAGTTGAGGAAACTGAGTCAGAGAGAGGGCAAGTGACCTGTCTAGGGTTACACATGTCTGAAGCTAGAATTAAACTCAAGTCTTACTGACTCCAGGCCTAGGTCTCTATCTGCTGTGCCATCTAGCTGCCCAGCTTTGGGCCTAGGGGCAAGACTATTCCAATAACATCACTTGCTTGATTATTCTGTTCGCATTTTCACTAAATTCTGAATCTTGCTTTCCCTCCTTAGCATGACCCCCAAATGACTGGCTAAATTGGAAATTAGGTCAAATGCATTTACTAAAGCAAAAGCAAAAAAATAAATAAAGTGTAGTTTTAAAACTCCAGCATAGCTGGCCCATTCCTGCTCTGTAAATATATATATATATATATTGTTCCTAGAAAGAGCACGTTAACTGATTGCCCTATAGATCAACTTACCATACCAGTCACTTCTCTGACATTCCATTCCCTAGTCACAACTCAAGTGTGTGTGTGTGGGTGTGTGTGGGTGTTGTCTCTCCCTTTTAGAATATAATCTCCTTGAAGGCGGGGACTGTGTCCTCTTTGTATTTGTGTCCCCATGGCTTAGCACAGGATCTGCCCTTAATAAATGCTTTTTCATCCATTCCTGGTAAGCTTGGAATTTTCACTTCTGCCCATCCTATCTTCTGTATCTTTAAAAACAACAAATAGATGCATCCAAAGGTCCCAAAGTCACAAGGGGGACAGGGAACACATCATAGTCTTCTTGAACAAGGAAAGGACAATGACTAACAATTTGTATTATAAATGTTATCTATAGCAATAAGACAAGAAACAGAAATTGAAGGAATTTGAACAGGCAACAAGGAAACAGAACTATCACTCTTTGCAGACAATATGATGACATACTTAAAGAATCTTAGAAAATCAACTAAAAAATTAGTTGAAATAATTAACAACTTCAGCAAAGTTGCAGGATGTAAAATAAACTCACATAAATCATCAGCATTTCTTTATAGTACAAGCCAAAGTCCAGCAGAAAGAGATAGAAAGAAATTCCATTTAAAATAACTGTAGACAATATAAAATACATGGGAGTCTACCTGCCAAGAGAAACTCAGGAACTATATCAACACAATTACAAAACACTTTTCATACAAATAAAGTCAGATTTAAACAATTGGAGAAATATTAATTGATCATGGGTAGGCTGAACCAATATAACAAAAATGACAATTCTACCTAAATCGATTTACTTATTCAGTGCCATACTAATAACATTACCAAATCATCATTTTATAGAGCAAAAAAAAAAAAACATAGCAAAATTTATCTGGAAGAGCAAAAGGTCAAAAGTATCAAGGGAATCAATGGAAAAAAAAAATGTGAAAGTGGCCTAGCT